AACAATCGGGTCTAACCTCAGGTCACTCAGGAAAAGTTTCCAGGTTCCCACCCATGTGTAGCGTGCGCAGTCTCAGCATCTAGCCACTCGCCTGCGCACTGCTTTCACCGTCCCATGAATACCTTCTGTGTTCCAGGGCACACAGCTCCAACCTTGGGCCTGCTGACTCTGGGGGCGCCACAGAACAGCCCCAGATGCTGCTCCAAAGCACAACCCAGCTCCTTAGGGAGACTGACCAGACCTCTGGGCTCACTGGTTCTCCAAGATGGCTGCACCCAGCAAGCACAGTGTCTGAGCATAGTGTCTGGGCAGCTCATTAACCACAGAGCAAGAATGCCAATGGTGGGGAGACTATCTTCACAACTTACCGTGGTGAGAGGAGGGGCCTTGGGCTCCTGAGGAGTCCAGTAAGTCCATAGGATCATACATTTGAGGAGAGCGTTAGGCAGTTCCCTGGAACCACTTGCCAGTCAGAGACCATATCCACCAATCTGAGGAGGCCTCCTATCGTCCAGCTTCCTGCCCAGGGATCTTCCTACACCCTCCACCCCCAAGAACTCCAGCGGGCACCAGAAACTACCAGCTAATGCCAGAGACAGCCAGAAGGCCAGAGCAGTAATGGCATCTCCAGAGCCCAGTTATCCCATGACAAGCAGTCCTAGATATCCTAACACAACTAAAACAAGAAAATGACCTTAAATCTATGTTTATAAAGATGATAATGGAGGAAATGAATAAAATCCATGAAGAAATACAGGAAGATAAGGCAAACAGATTGAGGCCCCTAGAGAGTCCTTTTTGGAGCTACATCAGATTGTTATTGTCATGATCTTTTGCTCCTGGTGAGCAGTCCCCATAGTCACTTTAACTTTTCTTGAGCATCTGATGTTGAGGTTCATTGGGTCCACCTGCTACTTCTCTGCAGAGTGCATTTCCAGAACATAACACACTCAAAATCAGAGGAGCTGGATAGTAGACATCCTAGGGGCCACTCTCCCTCAGTCCCTAGCAGGAAGAGGCCTTCATGGTATCCGTCCAGGGCCTTTAGAACTTCCCTGAGAACTCAGTTGTCTCTTCCTGAGGACCTTAATCATTCACAGTGAGGTGTCCAGCCTGTAAATGTACTAGAATTCAGAGCACGCAGGCAGCTGCTCTCCCAGAGTGGCCTGCTGCCCAGTTCCTCTTTAGCAGTCTCCTCTAGGTTAGCATCTAGTGGTGAAAACATTTCCAGCTTCCTTGTGTCTCTCTTAGTTTTATCCTTTTCTCCTCACTGATGTCAGGAGATGGTTCAGAGAGGTGACTGTGTATAGTCCTGTCTCCTAGTTTTCTAAAAAATTATATTGGTCAATATATGATGATTTATGACATTTTATACCATCCCTGGTGGCTGTCCATTTGCCTGTTTGCAATTACTGGCATGGTGTTGTTGCTGATAGCACTTCCCCAAGCTCAAGGCCTTATTGCCCTGCATTTCCACACCCCTCTGTGGCTCCTGATTGTTGCATACCTGTAGTTCATATTTTTAAAGATTAAAAAACTTTTACCTTGCATAAGGGGTGTTTTGTTTGCATGTATGTCTGTGCATCAGGTGTGTGCCTGGTGCCTGTGGGGACCAGAAGGTGACGTTGATTCCCCTGGAACTCGATTTACAGACAGTTGCTGCCAGGTGGTGGTAGAAATTGAACCCAGCTCCCAGAAGAGAAATCAGTGCTTAGAACTACTGAGCCATCTATCCAGCTGCCATTTAAAACTCCCCCCAACCCCTGAGACAGGGTTTCTATGTGTCCTGGACTTGCTTTGGGGACCAGGTTGGCCTTGAACTCAATAGAGATCCACCTGCCTCTGCCTATCTGAGTGCTGGGATTTCATGCATGTGCCACCATACCCAGTCATTTAAAATTTCTTAAGGTAGCAATATTTTGTTCTCTTTTTTAAAAAAATATTTATTTATTTACTTTAGGTCCCAATCATAACCCCTTCCTTCCTCTCCTCCCAGTTCCATTCTTCCTCCCTCTTTCCCCAGACCCCCTCCACTATTCCTCAGATAAGAGAGCCCACTCCCCACCCCCACCCCAGCTCATTAAATCCAATGGGGACTGAGCACATCCTCTTCCTCTGTGGCCTGGTGAGACAGCCCTGCCACAGGAAAGTGATCAGAAAGCAGGCAACACAGTCCATGTCAGAGACAGCCCCTGCTTCCCTTATGTGGGAACCCACATGAAGCCTGAGCTCCCCATCTGCTACGTCTGTACAGGAACCCTAGCTCCAGTACATGCATCACCCTTGGTTGGTGCTTCAGTCTCAGCAAAGCCCTCTAGGACCTGGTTAGTTGATCTGTTGGTTTTCTTGTGGAGCGCCTGTCCCTCCAGGCCCTTCTGTCCTTCTTCCCACTTTTCCACAAGACTCCCTATGCTTCACCCAATGTTTGGCCGTGAATCTCAGCATCTATTTCGAGCCACTGCTTTGTGGAGCCTCTCCGAGGACAGCTCTGCTGGTCTACTCTCTTGTTCCCTCTATTCAGCCACTTCCTCTATCTATTCTATTTCCCCTTCCAGTCAAATTTAAGTACCCTCCCATGGGTCCTTCTTGTTATTTATCTTTTGGGGTCTGTGGCTTGTAGTATGTCTGTTTTGTACTATATGGCTAAATTCTTTTTTTTTTCATTAAATTTTTTTTTATCAGTTACATTTTATTAACTCTGTATCCCAGCTGTGTCCTGCTCCCTCATTCCCTCCCAATCCCACCCTCCCTCCCTCATCTCCACCATGCCCCTTTCCAAGTCCACTGATAGGGGGGGACCTCCTCCCCATTCATCAGATCCTGTTTTATCAGGTATCTTCAGGACTGGCTGCAAAGCTCTCCTCTGTGGCCTAACAGGACTGCTCCTCCCTTGGGGGGGTGGGGAGGTCAAAGAGTCAGTCATTGAGTTCCTGTTAGAAATAGTCCCTGTTCCCCTCACTATGGGAAACCAATTGGTTACTGAGCTACCACAGGCTACATCTGAGCAGAGGTTCTAGGTTATATCCATACATGGTCCTTGGTTGAATGACAGTCTCTGAGAAGACCCTGTGCCCAGATATATTTGGTCCTTGTGGAGCTCCTATCCTTTCCCCATCATACTAACTCCCCTTCTTTCCTATGATTCCCTGTACTCTGCCGAAGGTTTGGTCATGAGTCTTTGTATCTGCTTTGAGAACACTGCTAGTTAGAGTCTTTCAGATGCGCTCAGTAGACTCCTGTCATACGTTCAATGCACATCCAATCTGTCTTTCTAAACGAGGATTGATCATCTTACCCCATGTCCGCTCTCTTGATTATCTTTTTTAGGTGTATAGATTTCATTATGTTTGTCATATCTTGTAGGTCTATATAAGTGAGTATATACCGTGTTTGTCTCTCTCCTTCTGGGATATTTCACTCAGAATGATCTTTTCTAGATCCCACCATTTGCCTGCAAATTTCATGATTTCCTCCTTTTTGATTGCTGAGTAGTATTCCATTGTGTAAAAATACAATTTCTGTAGAATGTTTGTCCCGTATATTGAAGAACCGAGGTTCAACCTCCAGTTCCTTCCTTCCTTCCTTCCTTCCTTCCTTCCTTCCTTCCTTCCTTCCTTCCTTCCTCCCTCCCTCCCTCCCTCCCTCACTTCCCTCCCTCCCTCCCTCCTTCCTTTCCTCCTTCCTTTCTTCCTTAGCTTCTGTAATATGACTTTTCATTCTCTTGTAGGAAAACCCTCCTCTCAACCGAAATGAGGATGTTCGGGCTGTTTTTTAACTTCTGAGTGTCAGTGCCTGCAGGCCTCAGCCAGGAGTCAGCCCCGTGCTCGTATTAGTCAGGCATGAAACACGCAGGTGAGTCGTCTTAGTTTTCCTGTTACTCAGGGATTCGCGCTCAGCTGTCCCCAGAAGACAAATGAACGTTCCCAGCCAGTGATACGGACATCTGCATACACTGGTGCCGTATTTACTGTGTAGAATTGCAACGTGCAGAGCAGATGAAGCAGTCCTGTGTTCTCTCTGCTCTTCTCCCTTCCCATTCCCACGTTCACCAGGATGGGTCGCTTCAGTTCTCAAGTTAAGGGCTGATTTATTTCTGCTTGTAGCTTTAGCTTGTCTTCTGAGTCGGTTTCTATTCATCCACCTTGTTTTTCTGCCTCTAAGCTTGTGATGTCATTTCTCCCATCTCCTTCAATCATTTTGGTTTTCAGGAAGTATGTTTTAAAGAAGAAAAAAAAAA